CGATGTTGTAATGGACTTAGCATCCTGCTGATTTTCCAATCATCTTCATCTCGATTTAAGACTGACTTATGTAAGAGTATCAGTATTGTTAATTATCTTTAGCAGACTATTAGCATGGCTTGAGATGTGGTCACTTTCTAATAAGAAACGGTCTAGCGATATTAATAGCTTGTCAGTCCTTTGTCGATAATGGTCAACAAAGGATCCCCTAAGGCGATTCAAAATTGAGAAGACTTTTAAGAAGATATCCAGTTCACTGCTGGTCATCAGTAGGTTAGGTTATGACATTGAAATGTACCAATCTACGCAGTTCAACTCTGATAAGTCCATAAGATAGCTAATGTGTATTTTATGCAGTAGGGGGATACTCAAACCTGCAACACTGGACATCAAAAATAATCATGTCACATGTAGTAATTTGGTAATGGATCTGAAATGTTTGAATTAAACTAATCGGCGCTTGGCAAAATCTCCAAACCTAATCCAATTTGAAAACACGTCAAGGCGAATTTGGTGCTAGATAAGGTTGTAAATTCCATTTTGTCGATCTGGATTGAATTTTCTGATATATTATGGAATGGTGTTTCCATACAATAGAAAATCAATACTGCATCTCTCTTTATAGTTCAAGAACTGATTTAAATTTTTTCTTATAATGCCTTGACTGCTGCTCGAAACAGAGCATGAATGCTTTTCAGTCTGATAATACTTTGACTTGGTATGCTAATTGTTAACATGGAATCAAATATTTTTCTTTGATAATATTGCAATTAATTTATTTTTATATTTCATATAAAGCACAATATTAATACTGAAGAGAAATGCATTAAGTAAATATATTCGAGTAAATATTAAACAATGCTATTAGCATCTCATTTGAAACATTCTAATAGAACACACCTTAGAAAACCGATAGATCAATCTAGAGTCTTCTAATGACTTTCCGGGGAGTTTACAGTATGTTTATTACTGGCTTATGTAAAGCGTCCTTGAAGAGGACGAGATTTCCATCAATATATTCCATAATATGGCATCGCTTAACAACCTCACTGAACTGATAATGAAATAGGCCAGTATTAACCTTTCGATTTCGATCAGAAACCTTTAATTATAGTGTACAATACTGGGAAATCCAGACAATCGTTGACTTGATCCACCAGTCGTATTAAAGTACAATTAGATGTGATTGATTGTTCAGATGCTGATGTTCTACTCACTAAAACTGTTTTCTCGTCAATCAATTTAGTGTCCAATCAGATCACCCCGACCTTTTTTCTTGCAAATGTCTTAAATTACTGTGAATAATGTCCATTTGAAATAACGAGTTGTGAGACTTTGAATCGTCGACTTGGACCACAAATGAATTTTAGTTTCCATGCACATAGATTTTGCCCATGGACAAACTAGTTTTCATTATCCTTCTTTCATCTCTCAAAGGGACATTCTTCTTTTTTGTAAGTCCGAAATATTTTTTTGCTTAAATTTGTGAAAACTATACACCCAAATCAAGAGATGTGCCCTTTAACGTATCTGACAGTTTTGATTTAAAACATCCAGCCGTTGATTTCTTAATGCCAAAACTGTTTCAAATCATTACGTAAGATTACGTTAACTTTGAAAGTTCATTATATGCTTTTTGAAAGCTGTAAGAAAACTACTGCACGGATTCAGTGAAAAAAAAACCCACCTAATTGTAGAGAAATATGTTTCCTATATATTTTTAAGGTTTCAACTAATGATATCGAGTCATTATAAAGCAAAACATCAAAAATAGGTCATGGTGCCTAATTAAAATAGACCTCTCTGTTTTCAATTAACCCTTTTAAAACAAATTCAGTTTGATCTAGAAGATACATAGAAATAATTAGCATACTTTTTAGATATTTTCTGGTATACAACTCTTGTCCACAGTAGCACCGACGTGTATCAAGCTGTGTAGATATATTAATTACATTAGATTAGATAAGTAATTTAACATTATAGCCAATAGCAAATTTGTTTCGCAAATCTAAAAAAATGTAAAATCATCGTATGGAGTAAGGCATATTCCGAATTGAACAGACATGCCTGCATAATAGAAGACATAACAAAATAGCTTTTCTGGCAGTTCCTGGTCAACTTATATGTAATCTGAACATTTGTAGTTTCTATTTGCTCTATTCCTATTTCTTTCTGACGTCGGTCGTTTCTATTCCTTGGATACAATTCATAATGCCGATTCAATAGTAAATGCCATGAGCGTGTTAAGTGCGAAAGGATTGGGAATTTTGTTGTATATCTCAAGACAGTGACAAAATTAAAAATTAAACTCAGTTTGTATGTACTGGCAAGCTTCCGGTAATGTTCATGTACAGAACAATAGGATATGAAGCTTCATTTCATTTCATCATCTCTAAAACGACAATTTAGAACTGACACTTTTGACAGATATTAATATATTTGCACTCTGTGAAGGTTCCATTGATGCTTATTGTTCATGTTAGCACTAAATCGATGGTCTCATGAGATCCAACCTATTAAAAACCTTTGCTTCAGTGATTTTGAAAATGATGAAAATTGGCTGATTTGATGAAAATTCAATGTTAAAAATGCGTCATTACCAGTTCAGTTGAAATGTGGTAAAGTTTAAATCATAATTTCTCTTGGGACCCTTAATTATTAAGTAACTAATTGTTAATTATATCATTGTGGTCTATTTCCTAAAAATAATAGTCGATCTTAAGAATTTGTGAGCGACATCCTTCATTTTCAATATTCTTGCTCGATCAGCGTAAAAATGAAAAGCTGTTTTTTTTAATTAGATGTTCCACGATGTAATCCAAAAGACTTTCGACCTTGTCAGACATAAATGAGAAATTAATTCATAAATGGAAATGAAATCCGTTTGAAAAATTCAAGTAATACCAATAATGCGTTATGAATATGAAGTTTGCGTCATCGTTTGAGAGCAAAATATGAAACTTCAGTATCTTCAATTGATTTTAAGACGTTAGTTTTGCTAGGCATTACGTCTGAGCCAAGTGCACTATTCGGAAAGTAGCTCTAATACCCTTACAATGTCAAGTCGTCTTAAACCTTGACTGCAATAGCCATTATTCCTATATCACAGAATGCAGTGATTTGATGAGATTGTACGCCAGCAATCGGAACCTTCGAAAGAAAATTTGTAAAAATAATGTTGTGTTCACAGACCTTCTATCGAGGCCTCTGATTGGCTGTATTTGCTAGCGTACAATCTAATCAAATCGCCTCATTAACAAACTTCCTGATACAAGAAAGGTGGCTATTGCAGTCGAGGTATAAGTACAAAGTTCGCAATAGCTTGGCATTGTGGGGTTCCAATTAAAGCTGTAAACTGCCAACCCAACCCGTTTCATAATAATATGCACCTTTAAGTTCATCTTCACTAAACAATCAAATTATCAGACATAGACAGATGTATTTGAATAGGGTAATCTCAATTTGTATTTCTAAACCCTACCAGTTCATTTCTCAAGTACAGAGAAAATCAATAAATATATTGTTGTATATTGGTTATAGCCGTGTTTAATTAAACAAATTATATGGCGACTCACCGTCCCATTTCATTCCCTATACACTTGATTTATAACTTCACCTCACTTCTTAGTGATATCAATAAGGGTAGGATAGCTTCACAGACTTACGAATCACATTTAGGGAAGATGGATACACATGGTTATCGGTTTTTTTACTAATGTGAACTAGATATACAGAACATGTCACAAGATCCATCTCAGTCGACAACTCCGTTCGGTAGGTCGACTAAATTCAGACAATCAGCAAATTCTACCTGATTCTTGGCAGTCGTTGAAAATTCAATTGCTTTCCGACTCAAGATCTCTGATCGACCCGGGCCTGCTCTTAGGTGTAATTTATTACAGGATATGCTGGAAAAGGGTTTACTGTTTATGTGATTTATATGTGAGAGAAATATCTTCATAATCAGTCTGTCTCTCGCATTTCCTTTTCCGGTTTGTACAACCATCTCGCCTTATTTCATATACCCTTGATACCCTGGCCATCCTAATCACTGTAGATTTGTGGGAACAAACAAGATTCTAATAAAACTTTGCTATCCGTACATCTATTTTGATGAATGATATGATTTGTTCCGACAAAAAAATCGACATTTCTCGTTTAAGGCTTTGATTTATTCTAACGGACCGTGGCTTCCAGATTACAGTTCAATTTTCTGTTATTTCATATTCCTTATCGCAATGGACAAACAGTCGTCCGGAACCATAAATCAAACGTCTAGGGTCAAAATATGAATCAGTCTCTTTCAAACGCAATAGTCTGTGTTTGATTATGGTGCCATTCGTTTTTTCATTTGCAGCGTCTCGTCGTTTGGATGGGACAATAAATCAAAGCCCTGTGTGGTAGGGTTAGATCCCTTTGCAAATAGAAAAAGAGTAGTCTAATGCCCTGTTCCTAATTGCACAATGCATGCGATGCCCGTCTTCATTAGCCCAGGTGGTTAGGACGTAGAACTCCATTAATATCTTCCTTAAAATCATTACCAATAAAATAAATTCTCTGTTTCTTCTACTGAATAATTTCAGCCGTAAATTCAACATGTCGATAAATATACATGTGAAGATAACTTATCAGTTTTATTTTATGGTTATGGTTTATATTCTGTTCTTATCTATTCCAAACTAATATGTTAAAGAAAATTATAGATGTAGATTATATGAAGATGCTCCAAAATATGCGAATTTTAATCTGCAAAAGACATTATATTGTTACGGGAAAATAAAACCGATACTTCAATAGAAAAATATCAACAACAGAATCAAAACCACATTGTAAATATCAAGAAAGACGTCTAACACTGAAGAAACAAACACTAGTCATAGGACAAAAATATTCCAAAACGCTCTAATCCCAGTTATGCCCTATCGTGCTGGTGGCACAATGCTCTTAATTTTAAATCCACAGTGATTAGCACATTATTTTCAAATTCCGATGGCAGCACAATGTTTTTAATTTCAAACCATGTTGGTAGCAAAATGCTCTTAAACTCAAATCATGTTGGCAGCACTATTCTCTTAATTTCAAATCCTGTTGGCAAAACAATGTTCTTAATTTTAAATCCTGTTGGCAAAACAATGTTCTTAATGTTAAATCCTGTTGGCAGCACTATTCTCTTAATTTCAAATCCTGTTGGCAAAACAATGTTCTTAATTTTAAATCCTGTTGGCAAAACAATGTTCTTAATGTTAAATCCTGTTGGTAGCACAATTCTCTTAATTTTAAATCCTGTTGGGAAAACAATGTTCTTAATTTTAAATCCTGTTGGTAACACAATTCTCTTGATTTCAATTCCTATTGACAGCACATTGCCCTTAGTGTCAAACCATGTTGGCAGCACAATTCTCGTAGTTTCAAATCCTGTTGGAAGCACAGTGCTCTTTATTTCAAATCCTGTTAGCAGCACACCGCTCTTCAATTAAATCCAGTTGGCATCACAGTGCTCTTAATTTCAATTCCTATTGGCAGCACATTGCTCTTAGTGTCAAATCCTGTCGGCAGCACAATTCTCTTAATTCCAAATCCTGTTGGCAGCACAGTGCTCTTAATTTCACATCCTGTTGGCAGCACAATGCTCTTAATTTCTAATCCAATTGGCAGCACAGTGCTCTTAATTACACATCCTGTTGGCAGCACATTGCTCTTAATTTCAAATCCTGTTGGCAGCACAATGCTCTTTGTTTCAAATCCAGTTGGCAGCACAATTCTCTTAATTTCAAATCCTGTTGGCATCACACAGCTCTTAATTTCAAATCCTGTTGCCATTTTTATTACATTCTAAATAACGGAACACAGTTTTATTTTATATGATCTCAGCCCCGAAATGTCGCTTAAGAATTTTAATATTCTGGTGCAGTTGAAAATATTCCTACTACTATTTTAATTTTCTATTTGCGCATAGCCAACAGCCACAGGTCAAAATAACCTCGGCCAGGCTGACATTCCAACTTGCAGAGAGTTGCCAAGTCTTCTTTCAATCAAATTATAAAAATCAGCAATGCTAATTGTCTATCTTTCATTTCAAATTGCCATAACTTAAAACTAGAAAAGATGATCGATGATAAATGAGATAAATTTGGCGATTTAAAAGGGAAAGATAATTTTTAAATGTTTTATTTTAGCAGAAAATAAATCTCTTTTTCCTTCAATATTTAATTTAGTCCAATTAGTAAACCAAATTTAGTGAATTAAAAGAGATGATTATTTTGGATGCTTTGTCACGACATAAATGTTTTCCCCTTTTAATATTTAATTTGGTAAATATTCATCTATTTGTAAATTTGATTCGGGCACCATGTAGATTTTAACGAAACAGTTTATTAAAGTTTTCTTGTTTTTTAGTAGATTTGAACATTCAATTTAAACGTACAAATAAGATCAGTGTGGTCGATTAGTCATAAGCCACGTGATTTAAGTATATTTCTTTTTTTACTGCGATAGATTACACTGCAAGTGCATGACATTTGTTTAAATTGCAATAAATTCTACTATTCAAAATAAAAATTTGACCAAAGTTTATTTACTTCAGCTGAGTTGAGAAGCAGAGTGGCATCGGTATACTTTGATGTTGATGTGCAGATTTAAAAAAAAGATTGGTCAATTGATCTGGGTTGGAAAATAAAAAAAATCTACTTTTGTGGTTCATTTATAGATTATAACGAAATATATAAAATTCTACTGGGTCTAGGTTAGGAAAAAGGGTAAAGCAGGGCTTGTACTTTAGTGATTTCTTTATAAAAAGGTAAAGCAGGGCTTGTACTTTAGTGATTTCTTTATAAAAAGGTAAAGCAGGGCTTGTACTTTAGTGATTTCTTTATAAAAAAGGTAAAGCAGGGCTTGTACTTTAGTGATTTCTTTATAAAAAGGTAAAGCAGGGCTTGTACTTTAGTGATTTCTTTATAAAAAGGTAAAGCAGGGCTTGTACTTTAGTTATTTCTTTATAAAAAGGTAAAGCAGGACTTGTACTTTAGTGATTTCTTTATAAAAAGGTAAAGCAGGGCTTGTACTTTAGTGGTTTCTTTATAGATTTTAAAGAAAGAATAATTGTTCAACTGTATAAACAGGGTAAAATCTGTACATGTGGTTCATTTGGTAGAATTGTAGATTTGAACGAAATAAAGTTCATCTGGGTTGGTAAATAAAAGACAACCAATGCTTCTAGTTCATTTGGTTGATTTATAGATTTGAAAGAAATATAGCTAGTTCAACTGGGTCGGTAAACGAAAGACAATCAGAGCTTCTAGTTCATTTAGTTGATTTATAGATTTGAACTAAATAAATTAAGTTCATCTAAGTCGGTAAACAAGGTCATATCGAGGCTTGCAGTTCACTTGGATATGCAGATTTAAAAGAAATATAGGTAAAAAAAAAAGACAGTCAGAGCTTCTAGTTCATTTGGTTGATTTATAGATTTGAAAGAAATATAGCTAGTTCAACTGGGTCGGTAAACAAAAGACAATCAGAGCTTCTAGTTCATTTAGTTGATTTATAGATTTGAACGAAATATAGCTAGTTCAACTGGGTCGGTAAACAAAAGACAATCAGAGCTTCTAGTTCATTTAGGTGATTTATAGATTTGAACGAAATATAGTTCAGCGGGGTCTATAAGCAGAAGACAATCAGAGCTTCTAGTTCATTTAGTTGATATATAGATTTGAACGAAATATAGTTCAGCGGGGTCGGTAAGCAGAAAACAATCAGGCTTCAGTTTATTTGGTTGATTTCTAGATTTGAACGAAATATAGTTCAACTGGGTCGGAAAACAAAAGACAATCAGAACTTCTAGTTCATTTGGTTGATATATAGATTTGAAAGAAATACAGCTAGTTCAACTGGGTCGGTAAACATTCTAGTTCATTTGCTTAATTTATAGATTTGAATTAAATATAGTTCAGCGGGGTCGGTTTTTAGTTTATGGAAATACAATCACCACTGCAAGTATGAAAATCTGTCGTTTGAAGTGGTACATTATTCTTCTTAAGATATCTGATTAAACTCGTATCGAAAAAATAACTCCCTAATGGAACGTGGAAATTAAGTTAACTTTCGCAAGCATTCTTTAATAAGTTAAAATTTAGATTTTTTGTTCAAGAGTTATTTGTACCTAAAAGTCTTTATTTTTCTGATGCTAGGATGAACTGTAAATTGCCTTTCTTGAAATCTAAATGAACTCGTATTTTGATTTATTTTAAAAATTAAACCCATGTAACGTTAAGTGCATGTAATGGAATTTTCAGATTCATCTTCAAATGATAAGTGTATAGAATTCTAACTGGCGAGATTGAAGTGGATTGTATCTAAAATTATAGCTCATATTTCACCTGCTTCCTGTTGGTTTAGAGATGACATTTTCTACTCCATCAAGGCATTTTTGAAAAATGTCAGCACTGAAACACTTCCATTTCTGTCATGGGTCATGCAAACTAGTTCAGTCTTTGGAATTGAACAATAAATCTGGTCCGTGTGCCGCAGATCTTATACCTTAAATATCCCCATACGGTAAATCGTATTATAGCCGCGCCACATCGGAAAGACATCCTTACTGAACTGCTACGGAAAATTATCTCGGATGCTTAGGTCACCATAATCATGGTATTAGCTTGTAGCCTCACCACGGAATAGAAAATGTCTGTAGACAAGCGCCGTAATATGTCCATGAACGCAATTAAAGTCAAATACAACAGGTCCACAGTTTTTATTAGAAACGTGCTTTGGGAACACAATATGGTCGCATATGCAAAGGTTTGAGTGCGACTATTGTGTAATTTTATGATCCAATTTTTCTCGCGTTTTCTTCACATTTTCCGGCAACCTAGTACAATTTTGCTCGCGTAAGATCGCAAATGGTCGCAGTCCCATGCGATAGGACTATTATTATACTATGTACTTTTATCCATCTTATATGTCAATGTCGATCGATTTGAATTTATTAGCTGGTTAATATTTGTTTTTTTCTTGTATCATTAATTTGTTATGTTAGATACAGTCGTTAAATTGTCCATGTTATATACATCACAGCATGAAAGACAGTTGAAAGAAATTAATCATATTATTTCACATGTCCACAAGACATAATTCGCTGCATGCTCGAACTGTATTTCTGTAAACTACATGTACTGTAACAGTACATTTTCAATTCCAGACTGACCTTAGGTCGGATGCTGCACCTCGTGTACAGAATTGAACTGTGGTTTCTGAAACAGCAATAATTGTTACCTTCCACCACATTCAAGTCGCTAGCCGAACTGCATGTACAAAATTGATGTGGTTTCTAAAGGAATAATTCATTTTTACTTAATATTTTTTTTTACACAATATTTTCGTTTCTGTAAGAAATATTTCCATATTGGCAAGGTTATATTCTTTTGCTAGAGATAACAGTTATGAGCTAAATAATTATATTTGTAGCCGGTGTAATCTAGTCCAATAGGAGTCATGCGTCAATCACGAACATATACTTGACCTTGATCATATGAAACCTCTATTGGTGTCTGTAGCTATCTATTGACTTAAATGTTATCTGGCAATGAAATATATTGATAGATTAATATGATTGATTGTAACACAGTACCAATATCAGTTTAATTAATGCATTGACCTTTTAAAATCTGATGTTTACGATTGATATATTCAGATTGGCATCGAAGAGATACCAAATCATTAGATGTTATTGTATCCAATGGGTAAAGAAATCTTAATATCAACGACTTCACGCTGCCTATCATCCTTAGCTAATTATAGCAAAGTTCCATTTCGAAATATTATATCCTTTTCCATTGCCACAAACGAACTAGACACTCGATATTTAAAAAAACTAAACCCATGCGTAAACTAGAGACCCTGTTTGCTCTAATACCATTGCCCTGGCAAAATTCCTCGGTGTCTATAGTTCAGAGCAGAAAAGCAGGGCATCTTACATCATTTGTTTTGCTCCCTTAGCCCAGAAAAGTATGCTATCTAACAACACGTTACCACAGCGGTCGGTGCCATTTGACTTTCGAAGGACCGTTTTGGAAGATACTCGGTGGAATATTTACTCTTTCGTCTAATTTAGAAGATACAAATTCCATGTGAACGGTTAAGCCAGAGATTGTTTCCTTTGAGACGTGTTTGTATTAGATACTGGTTGCTTCGTTGGATTTTAATTGATGTTTGGAAAGCGTATTTTTATTGAAATGATGTTTGAGTCTGGTCTGGTTTCCTTTGAGAGAAATTATGTATAAAAATTACTCATCTGAATTTTAAACTTTATTAAGAAACATATCATGTTACTTGTTGTTCTTGTATTTCACGAAGAGTTTTTTTACATAAGTGTAATTGTGTCTTCAGATACATTGTTTTATAACTTTTGTAAATGTTTTGTTCAGATGCTTTGCTTCGAAATTTGTAGTTGTTTTCCATGTATATCGCTTTGAAATTTTTTAATTGTTTCTTCAGATGCATTGTTGTCATCTTTATAATTGATTTGTTCAAATACCTTGCTTCGAAATTTGTCTTGGTTTCACGTAATGAAATTTTATAATTGTTTCTTCAGATGCTTTGCTTAGAAATTTGTACGTTTCGTTCAGATACATTGTTTCAACATTTTGTAATTGTTTTCCTGGTACATGTATATTGCTTTGAAATTGTGTAAATCATTTCTTCAGATGCTTTGCTTCGACATCTTTTTTTTCTTGATGTATAGCTTTGAAATTTTGTAATTGTTTCGCTAAGTTACATTTTTCCGATTTTATGTAATTTTGTAATAATTTCTTTACATGCTTTGCTTCGACATTTTGTATTTTTTGTCTTGATGTATTGCTTTGAAATTGTTTTAATTATTCCGCTCAGATACATTGTTTCGACATTGTGTTATTATTTTCTTCGGACGTAATGAAATTTGGTATTTGTTTCTTCAGATGCTTTGCTCAGAAATTTGTCACGTTTTGTTTAGATACATTGATTCGACATTTTGTAATTGTTTCTTCAGATGCTTTGCTTAGAAATTTGCCACGTTTCGTTCAGTCACATAGTTTCGACATTGGTATATTACTTTGAAATTTTGTTATGGTTTCTTCATTTGCTTTGCTTAAAAATTTGTATTTGTATTCCTGATTATTGTTTTAAAATTTTGTAATTGTTTCTTCAGATGTTTTGCTTCGAAAGTTGTCATGTTTTGTTCAAATACATTGCTTCGATACTTCGTTATTACTTTCTCGGGCGTTATGAATTTTGTAATTGTTCCTCCTTGAGAAATTTGTCACGTTTCGACATTTTGTAATTGTTTTCCTGGTATATTGCTTTGGAAGTTTGTTATGGTTTCTTCATTTGCTTTGCTTCAAAATTTGTAATTGTATTCCTGGTATTTTGGTTGGAAATTTTGTAATTGTTTGCTTCCAATTTCAGATACATTACCTTGAAATTGTGTTATTGATTTGTTTATATATTTTGTTTTAAAAAATTGTAATTACTTTATTCAGGTGAATTGTTTAAAATTTATGTAATTGGTTCGTTCATTTACATTGTTTTGATATATCTATAAAAAATCAATACATAAATTCGACATGAACTAATTGTTTTATTTGACAGTATTTCTTCAAATTTTTGGAATTGTTGGGTATACTGAATTTATACATTCAAGATAGTGACGAAGTGAACATTAGGAATTGACCTGTATACTGAACTCTACTAGTTCTTAGTCCATAAACATATATAGGGATAGGGTCCATGCTTGATAATGACAAATATAATTTTCTAAAAATGCCTTTACTGCTTATTAGGATGCCGAACCTTGCACCGCGTAACTCATTAGAGAACATAAACATCAAGAAATATTTATACAACTACTTCAAATAAAAGACGTAATATATGAGTTCTGTTCTTAAAATAGATGAAATAACTTCTCAATTTCTAGCATTTGTGGCTCATTTAAAGTTAATAGGTACATTCTATCACATACATGTAAACGATTGTTGAGACAAGAATGATGGCATATGTTCAGGATTATTTAATGCTATGAATGAAAAATGAGGTTGGGTCAAAGCTATTTAGTTTGAATGAAAAATATGAATGGGTTCATGCAGTCAAGAAGCGTATCAGATAAATGATCCATCACAAGTTAGCTCTTTAGCTTCAAACATCGTTCTGATTCGGTTTAGATGTTAGTATTTAGCATATTACATTTACGATGTTGAAACAAAAATGTGGGTAATATCGTCCATATCACGTTTGGTTTATTGGGCAATAAATACACTAGGTTGGTCCTTAGTTTGTAACTTTTTTATTTTTCTTTGTCTCATCTTTTCAATGTGATCCAATTAATAAAAATATATTTAATAAATATTTTAAACCTACCCGTTCGATTTATTACATAATAATTGTTTACGTTACAGGTAGAATGAAGTAGAGAACCGCTTTATCAGCTATTATAGAATCTAAATCGTTTATTAATTGCATTGTTTGTTATTGATCAGGCATACATATTAAATGTACCAATGAACTATGTGCACTTACAAAGAGTGATGTCAAGATGACAAACTTATTCGCAGAGAAGACAAACCCAATCGCAGTGATGACAAACTCAATCGTACAGATGACAAACCCCATCGAAGAGATTGCAAACCCAATCGCACAGATGACAAACCCAATCGCAGAGATGACAAACCCAATCGCAGAGATGACAGACCCAATCGCACAGCTAACTAACCCAATCGCACAGCTAACTAACCCAGTCGCACCGATGACAAACTCAATCGCACGGATGACAAACCCAATCACACAATTGACAAACCCAATCGCACAGTTGACAAACCCAATCGCACAGATGACAAACCCAATCGCACAGTTGACAAACCCAATCGCACAGATGACAAACCCAATCACACAGATGACAAACCCAATCGCACAGTTGACAAACCCAATCACACAGCTAACTAACCCAATCACACAGTTGACAAACCCAATCGCACTGATGACAAACCCAATCACACAGATGACAAACCCAATCGCACAGATGGCAAACCCCATCGAAGAGATGGCAAACACAATCGCACAAATGACAAACCCAATCGCACAGCTAACTAACCCAATCGCACAGTTGACAAACCCAATCGCACAGATGACAAACCCAATCGCACAGTTGACAAACCCAATCACACAGATGACAAACCCAACCGCACAGATGGCAAACCCCATCGAAGAGATGGCAAACACAATCGCACAAATGACAAACTCAATCGCATAGCTAACTAACCCAATCGCACAGTTGAAAAACCCAATCGCACAGATAACAAACCCAATCGCACAGTTGACAAACCCAATCGCACAGATGGCAAACCCAATCGCACAAATGACAAACCCAATCGCACAGTTGACAAACCCAATCGCACGGTTGACAAGCTCAATCGCACGGTTGACAAACTCAATCGCGCAGTTGACAAACCGAATCAATCGAAGAGATGTAGTCATCCGATGTTCATTAAATCAGTGCTATCAACTGGATTGGATTGGATTCCATTTTTGGAACGTGGTCAACGTCTGACAACTGCGAATTTGCAAACGTCGACTAAATCTAACTATCGAATATATGCGTTCAAACAAAAATTGTTTGCTCTATAGCGGAATTGTTTTTTTCTTCTGTGGACTTTCCCATTGGGATACCGAGTTGACAGCAGAAAGTATACATAACGTTTCGGAACACATGTCTGTCTTTCCAAAACACACAATACCTCTTACATTTTAGCTTGTCAACTTAATCCTCTATTAAATAATTCACTTAGATAATGCCATTTATTTTGTTTCAATTTTCATTTTTCAAATTGAATATGACAGAAGCAGACTCAGATAAAGTTATAAATAACGATATGACTTTTTATACCTTCAATTCTGGATTTAAAAAATCCATTAGTGAATCGAATTTCCACTTCCCTTAAAATTTATGAGTCTGGATATATTTGTACATCATCTTATGACTACTGATCATGTTTGGGGTACATAAAGAGATCAAAATGATGTCAAGTTGCTTTGCACAAAATATATCGATATGCATAGATGTTGTCAGGGACGCATCTGGAAAATGCATGAGAGAGGAGAGCCAAAATCGAGAAGTTTCTTTCCGAAGCGAGGCCGAAAGGGTCGAATCTGCTTGTGTCAGGGCTGTCAGAGGCCCCCAAAAGGAAGCCTAGAGGTATTATTTAGAGGTATTTAATTCCCAGTTCAAAATTTTCGCTGGCCTGAGGGAGACTGGGCATGACCCAATGTTCAACCTCCATTGGATGCTGTTGCTTGCAAGTATCTATTTCATTTGATTCTGTTTTGCATTGGATTAGTTTGATAAACGACATTGGGAACTCTCTAACGATGTAAGATTGGTTTGGTCATGTTCATTGGCTGGTCTGGTCAATTTTGTCTACATATCCCCCGGGTGATTGGGACTATGACTATTTAGAGTCCAAGCTAGCTACTTGTTGAATCGTTCAATCGCGAGCTTCTGGCCAAAGTTTTTCAAATACTGACTTTCGCACAACTGTGCAGTGAAACTGAATATTTTATTCCATATATCAAAAAGGAAAAATCTTTAACATCCGATTCTTTTACCATGGGCTGACAAAACCATTGCAAGCAATCTATAGAAATCGCGATTTTTAAGTCAAAAAAAATTTGCGCAAAATTCTTGATTTTTTTCCAGTTGGAGACGAGTAATTCCGAACAAACCGTGACTCTAAGGTTTTGAATGTGCCGACTGATTAAAACAATTATCACCTATCATTGTCAATCGAATTGAATTTCAACTCAGATGTAAAAAGCTTTACGTCGATTGGGTAAAGAAATTTTCATCCAAAAGAATTTCAGTTTGGACGTTCAAAGTCTGGTTTGAAATCTTAATCTGATTACTGGTAATTACAATTTCCTTTCTATTTTGGTTAAGAAATTTTAAGCTCTCTGTGGTGTCAAATCGTGGGATGGGATAATGTATCGAGCCTCTTTAAGTGTATTACAGGCTGGACTGAAGATTAGGCCAATACTGCTGTCCTGTGTCACCCCTCCCAATATGTCTGTGGGGAGGTGGGGGGAACTGCAAGGCTGAACAATTCAGGGTATCAAATCAACGTATGCAGGGACCAAACTCTGGACCTCTGGGTCTAACTCGTAGCATAACCCCGGCTCTCATACAGTGCCGGAGCCAGTTTTATGTCCGAGGGATTGCCCGAATTTATAACCTAGTTATGAGATTTTTGCTCGAAGAACTTGTTTTCGTGGCTGAGAGGGGAACTCGGCTGCCCCCTCTGCCACCCCCATTGATTCCGCCACTGTTCTCATAAAAAAGTTTCAAGGCTAAATATTCCACTGATAATAACTCTTCATTCTTACATTGTTAATAATTATTTCAAATTAGACTGTCTGTTGGAAATTATGACTTGTACTTTTATACAAATTTACCTTACATTGCATATACCCTATATTATAAGACAAGATGTAAGTGAACAAATACGTCGTCAAATGCCAATTATCTCTGAAAATCTCTTTACATAAATATTTAACAACAAAAGAGAGGACCTTAAATTAAAAACTAACCACAAGTTATCTTAAAGTGCACACAAATACCATTTGATGGATTTTTTAAGTAATACCACGTAACATTTTAACCCATTAACATCGTGGATGCCATTAAAAGATGAATAGACATCCTGAAAAAAAAATACACTCCGCCTACCTTTTTGACCGATATGGAAATTAGATTAAGTATGTTTCCTTTCTAATTAGGCACCAATATCTCAAAATATAACTAAAAACTATTCATTTTGTCAGTAATGGAGTTAATGAATGTCCACCAAAGGAAAGACTGGCTTTCTATTCTTGTTTGTCTTGAATACAAGAATACATTTGATGGAACATCAAAGACCTAGAATGCGACATTAAAAAGAAGACAGAGAGCAAAACCTTTGGTTTGATTCTAGTTATCACAATGCTTTCAATTCGATGTAGATTGCTGATGATATAATCACATGCTCTTAAAAAGCCGTCCTCTGTTTGCGATGCAATATAACTAATGACCAATTAATTACGCCAAGCTTTGATCGGTTAAAGTAAAGTACCAAATCACAACCATAAACGTAAACTCATTTGGCCTTTCAGAAATCTGAGAAATAAGATGGTCATTACTTGTAGGTCCAAAGAACATAAGTAAAGTCTTCACATGTAAGTTCTATTATTTGAAGAACTAGACATATTTAGTCGTAGGTAGGCCTACTTGTTTTCGGATGTGGCAATAAATTAAGGACCCGAATTCTGGAGGTTGGCCAAATGATAGATTTCTCAACAGGAAATCGAAAGAGAGTAGGCAAATGCCTCTGATTGCACACTTCATGGCATTTCCTTTATTTGCCAAATTTGGAATAGAAAAATGGGATGTAAAATCTGATTTCATTTAATTTTCTGTACGTGATTGAGCGTTTTTTTATTTTTTTTTTCCGCACTCGTCAAAGTAATCCAGTACGACATATATTTTGTTTCAGCAATTGCCAAAGTAATTTAATATTTATGTATTTGATTGTATTAACATTGATATCCTGTGATATATAGACAAACTTTCGTGTTAATATACACTGGGTATATAAATAAACAGTAAATAATTAACGTATTGTCTGTTCTGGTTATCCTTTAATATTTCTGTTCATCCCATGATCAATATTAATACTCCCTTTCTTTATTACAGATTATCACCTAGAAGACTGAAACTTACAGAAGGAAGTCATTTTGTCTCGTCGTCTACTCTCTTTTTGGATAGTTGGATTTTATTGGTTCATGACCTTCGAAGTCCATTCGGATATGATACCGCTTCTGTTCTTTTTTCAGAAACTGACTCGCAAAATCGCAGAAGAATGAATTCGATGCACGTCAGAATTTTTTTGTAGTCGGAAATATATTGCCTAAACCCAGTGGCGGCGGTGAGCAGTTCAAACAATCGTCCAAATCACACGAAAATAGCAAGTAAATAGGAACACCAAACTGAACAGAATTTAGAGTTCGAATAAGTAACCCTTATTTAGGGAAATTAACTTATGTTTTTGAATGGCGGAGGAGTGAACTCAGTAAACGTTAAAATTTGTTGCTGTTATTGTCGCAAATACATCGGAATACACCCTGTGGCTGCGTTAAGTGGGGCAAATTTACATCCATGTTCCAAATCAAAAGAACATAACAAGTAAATACGAACACCAAACTGAACAGAATTCAGAGTTCGGATAAGCAACCGCTTCTGTTATTTAAAAATTAACTTATATTTTCGAGTTGTGCAGAGTGAATTTGGTGACCGTTAAAAGTTGTTGCGGCTGTAGACGCAAATGACTCGGTCACTGCGCCAGTGATAAAGATTTACACCCATCGTCCATATCACGAGAAAATAACAAGTAAATACGAACAGAATTCAGAAAACGTATTTGGAATCCATGAAGGTCAAAGACTAAGTGGAATGTGATCTGGAAAATCTATGACTGTGTGAAATAAAGGTATAAAGCTATGAATGATAATTGACTTGAAGATCCCAAGAGATTTAGATAGAGTATAAAAACAGTATTGAGAAGTAAAGGTCTTGTTTGTATCATAATAATACATGTTCGAGATACAATCTGACTCGGTCTCTCTATTTCAGTTATCCTTTGCTGGTTCTCATATGAACTATGTTTTTGACACGGTGATTTATGGCAAAATATTTTTAAGTAAAATTTTGAAATTTCGAGCGGCATGGCTTTAAATATTTAAAAGGATCAATACAAGTGTTTCCACTAACATTCTTCAGTTTGGATTTGCTTTCAGTTATTTATTATGTGTGAATGAGTGCACCATTTTCAACAGCATTTTCTACATCTACAAATTTTGATTTCGGTGCTTTGTAATCGGATCTTGCATGTGTAGTTATCTCCAATCAAGCTGCTCATATTGAAGAACATTCATAAGAGCATAAGATATTATAATTTTTCCATCTGGTCTTACTTGACCACTCCAGCAAAGTTTATCATTAGGAACTGATGAAGCAAGGGATTTATCGATTGTTTTGAAATATATGAGAATATTGTAACACAAATTTAGCGTAAAGAATAAAATATCAATAACATAATATACCATATATACCATAATGACAGGGTGAAATGAAAATAGAAAAACCTATCATATTTAATGTGATTATCAGACTTGGTGATTTATTTTCATCAGATCATCTCAAAATCATATTTACCAACGATTGAT